GTAGGCAGACAGGAAACCGGGATAATTGGATTCCAGCCATTCCATCTTAGGGTTGCATTCATAACTGGCCAACTGTTGATGACCGACCCTAGTGGAACAAAGCCTGACCAAACAAACACCACCCCTGGGGGCTTGCAGTTTATGCGACAGAGTGAGAGCTCCACTGGCAGCCACCAACCTCCAGAAGTGGCCACAGAAGTGCCAGGCCTTAGCCTGAAGCTGAGATCAAGCAGAGGTGGCTAGTGTTGGGGAGTGTGAGGTGAGGAGCCAGACCATTTTTGACAGCAGCCGTGATGTGATTAAATCAGAACTGCGTTTTCTTTGGCTTTGGCCCAAAGCCATGGCAAGACTCAGGTGAGGCAAGTGTGCATTCAGAGTGATGTTTAAAGCAAGTTGTTGCAATCACCCCAAGACAGCATTAGCATGAGTAGGTAACTATAAAAACAGGTAAATGTTTAAAAATATAATAGTTTATTTTTACATCATTTTGTGCCTTTTCCCATCTCAGTTATAATCCCCGTGGGCTTCCCATCATCAGATCACCCGTGTGCCATCACCATAGTCCAGTGCCCTTCCCTCCCCTCACCATTTTTGATCCCATTCCCCACTCCACCCCCATAAAATGTCTCTGGTATATAGTTGTCCATTATTATTATCCCCACCCCCCGGTCCTTTATACTCCTGCCATGAGTGAAAACATCTGGTATTTTTCTTTTTCTTTCTGGCTTATTTCACTAAGCATGATCCCTTCCAGCTCCATCCATTTTGCTGCAAAAGGCATGAGTTTATCTTTTTGATTGCTGAGTAATATTCCATTGTATATATGCACCACATCTTTTTAATCCAATCATCTCCTTTTAGGCATTTGGGTTGATTCAATGTCTTTACTATTATAAATAAGGCAGCAGTAAACATGGGTGAGGGTGCCTCTTTGAATCAATGTTTTTGTGTCTTTTGGGTAGATACCTAGGAGTGGGATTGCTGGGTCATAGGGAAGCCCCATTTTTAACAGTTTGAGAAACCTCCAAACAATTTTCCATAGTGGTTGTATTAATTTGCATTCCCAGTGCAGGAGAGTTCCTTTTTCTCCACATCCTCGCCGCCATTTGTTGTTGCTAGTCAAAACAGGTAAATGAAAGGAGTCCTGAAAGGACTCCTGAAAGGAGTCCCTGTCATCTCTAAGTAGTCAGATTCAACAACACGATCTTAGATTGTTTGAAGACTGTGGCTTCAAATAGATTCTTGCTGGGTGGTATATAAAAGCTGTGATGTTGTTGCTGCAAAAGTAATGAACAGCACCCTCAGGAGACCCCACCACTGCCCTAGGTATAGGACAGAATAAAAGAAAGTGCATTTTGTAGATGGCGTTCATCAGGCTGGGAGAAGCTAATGACAGTCAGCTTTGTTTAGATGCTGCGAGCTGTACCCAGCTGCTGTCTGGTGTCTCAGACCCCCAGTCTGAGGAGGAAGATGGTTGTGAGGCCTTCCTTCCCAGGGAGGTCCCTCCCATGGGTCCTTCTGTCGGGTCATGTTGGGTCTTCTCTTATGAGGTCTTTTCCTATGACAAATAATATTATTAAGGCACTAACTCAGTAGTTGTGGATAAGACCCTTTGCAGTAGCCAAGAGTTCAAGGCGTAGTGGGATGGAGTGAATGAGGAAAGCTGGGTTTTGAAGATTGACCCTGCTCAGCACAGCCTGGCTTTCCTGGTGTGAAATGCTCAGACATTATTCCAGGAGCTCAGCTCTCGGCCCGGCCCTTCCTCTGTCTCCCACGGGAGTCTTGTTTTTTTGGCTTTGTGTTTTCCTAACACCTGCTGCCAGACAGCTGGTTAGCCACCAACCACCCACCCCGGCCTGTCATATGCCAGCCAAATCACAGCCGTGGCAGCCACGCTAACATTCAGCTCCTTCAGGGTTCTGATTCTGCCTCAGCCCTGACCCAGCTGCCAGGATTGAACATGTTTGACCTTCAGGTGAGGTTGACCAGCGAGCATGATCCAGGGCAGTTATTTCCAGGGTCCTGCCTTGGCTGGGCAGCAGAGTGACATATGGGCTACTGGCTTTCCTCCCAATCTCTGCATCAGTGTATGGTGAGTTGCAAGAAAATACTGGGTGTCAGGCAACTTTGCAAGACATGTTCTGCAATACAAATGTAAGGAGTCGCCATCTCCATCTAGAAGCAGATTTAACTGGGTGCTCTTGGATCTGAGCACCCCAGCCAATGAAAATACAAACAGCTGAGGCCACAAGAAAAATGTGCTTTTCATTCAGCAAGTGAGCAGGACAGAGACAGTGGGTCAGGTCTTTCAGACAGATTATAAAACTCCTGGAAAATCTAAATTTGACTTTCTATTTTAAATGCCATCTTACCATTTCTACAATGTGTAGCTTAAATCCCATCTCCATTATTTAAGTGTAGGACAGGGTAAAAAAGGGTTTGAAGAATTGTATTCTTTTCTAAGTTTTTTTAACCAGAATTTGCACACTGTCTTCAGACACATCTACAACTTACCTAGATGTTACCACTCTCAAAAGTCCATTTCTTGGACTTGTCAAGGGCTCTGTTCAAGAAAACTGATATTTACCTGCATTTAATAGGAAATAAATTAAGAATTGCTAAATATTTAATTAAGTAAGTATAAGGGCCTAGCACCATATATAATATATAATGTTATAGTATATGCATGTGTATGGTATATATAATATAAATATTTTATATACACATAAATTTATGCCAGATGTACATTCTTATAATCATTTGTAATTCTTACCGCACATGTAACTCCAGCCTTAGACGAGTGTTTCAGCTCCTCTCTAGGCACTACAACATCCTAGTTCCTGGTGTTTGAGTGGCGGGGCCCTGATGGTGCACATGGTTTTTCTTTTTATTTAAACATATTTATTTTATATCATTCTTCATTTTGTGTACTTTTTAAATCTCGGTTGTCATCCCCATGGACTTCCCCTGGGGAAGTCCAACTCACCCATGTGCCATCACCATAGTCCCATGCGCGCTTCCTGCCCCAGTTTTGATCCTGTTCCCCTCTCCACCCCTGTAGAATGTCTCTGGTTTACAGCCTTTCTTTTCTTTTTTTTATTTTTTATTTTATTACAATTGCTTTTTTTTTTTTCCTGGTCCCTTATGCTCCTATTATGAGTGAAACCATCTGGCAACACCCAGATATTGAAATCTTCATCTGATTAGTTAGAGTCCACTGAAAATTGCTGCATTTCTTTCTTCATATGTCACCTTGTCTATCAATTGTTGACTTTGGAAATTTTCACAGAACAGACATAGTATGAGTTGGTCACCCTGAGAGAGCTTGGGTAGTGAAAGATGCAAGGCTCATCGTCAGGCTAGGAAAAGACTAGAGAGAACTAGGCTCAGCTAAAGGAAGCAGGAGTTGGGACTCCAAATCACCAGTCAATCCCATAATTACCTTAGTTCCACAGATACGGCTCTGGGTAACTAATTAAAGCACATCACCGTGCCTGGCACAACACACATGTGGAACACGTCTTACTCCACGAACCCTCACTGAGGTTCACCCTGAGGTGGGGGTTGGGGGGGGGGCTGTCATCTTCACGCTGTCAGATGGGGAAATTGAGGCAGAGAGACACTTAAGGTAGAAAGGCTCCCTAAGTCAAGGAGCTGAGACTGGAATTCTAACATCTGACTCTCAACCACCACAGCGTAGCTGGCGGTCAGCAGAAACCTAACTGTGCTAGATGAAAAATACATGGTTTATCTTCTCCCAGAGGCTTGTGATTTAGCTGGAAATGTGCTATTTAAATGCAAGTACAGTCGCATGTAACAAGTCATAGCAAGAGCTGTCACAAGGCTGCTTATATTGTCCAATAAATTATCGATGCAGAACGTGCCATGGTTGTGTAAGAGGGAAGGGTGGCAGAGATGGCTGTCTGGAGGAGGAAGTGAATCTAGATAGTAGATTTCCAGATTCTTCTCTGTAGAGACACTGTAGGAGATTAGCTAAGGATGAATTACTAGCCTCAGGGTGAATTATTTTCATCCCTTTCCCTTAAAAATCCTAATTCTGAGATTCTGATTTTCTGCCTGTCTCTTGCGTCACCTAAGGAGAAACTGATGTGTTAACCAGGGAAGAAAAAGGTAGAGTTAGGGGAGCCTTTTAGAGTCTAGGGGTCCTGAAGGTAAGGAGGAAATATTTAGATGGGATTTCCTAAAACAGAGATTGGGATTTCTCTGGTAAATATGAAGTTGAAGAGGTGGCCCTTCCTTCTTGGAATGGGACCAAGCGCACAGAAGGAAAAAAAACCCAGTGCGTGCCTGGCCTAGAATCTGACCCAGTTGGGAGCCAGAAGTTCCGGCTTTCAGAAGCTCATTTCTCAGGCCCAGGCTGCCCAAATTTAAGGGCGTACTCCTAAATCAGAGGGCCTTGGAGTGGACTCCAGGTGCCCACTGAGTAATCAGATCCTTTGGCCCATTACTTCTAAATCTTAGTTCCTTCTCAGAAAGTGGCCAACAGCCCACGTCCCGGGGTTGGTGGGCAACGCAAGGTGATTCATTCCTGTAAGGTGTGCAGCCTGGGACTGCCAGCAAGTAGCAATTAGCTGTGAAGAAGAGGGAGGGAGGAAGGGTGGCTGTGCACAGACCTGGGCCTTGACACTGTTAAAGGTAACAGGTACCCTTGGCTGCTGGCTGGCCGTTTCCTCTACCACAGCAACCTTGTTTTTCTGTGCCTGTTTCCTTAATTGACCAGTCAAGGTAGTAGCCTGCTCTGTGAGTTTTCCGGAGCGTGAGAATGAGCTACTAGCTGTCAAAGTGCTCTTCAGAGTGGTTTGCAGAGGGACCTAATTATGTTTCCTCCCAGCCCACCCCTGGGGGACGTCTGGAGCGACTAGAACTAGATGTTCAATAGGCACAGATCATTTCTCTACTAACTACTGCATTTTCTTTTTTCTTTCCCAACTTCTGCTTGGCTCTCCCTCATCTGTGGCTGTTTTCTGTTTCAACCAAAGTGGCTGTTCCTTTGTCTCCAGCTTCCTCCTGCTCTTCTGCAATAGACCGGTTCCTGTGTAACTCTGAGCGTGCTCTGTAAGTCTGTCACGTCCATGGCGGGTCTGTCTGTGTCTGTCCATTGACTTCTTCCTACACAAGTCCTTGCTATCTGTTTATTCCTCCGTCCTCCCTGGGCCAGGTGGAGGGAACAAGTGGCTGGATCACCATGTCAATGGAGACTGCCTCAACCCACCCAGGCTCAGTGTTCTTTCTGGGCCTTGATTGCTATTGATCTAAAGCCAAAGATTCTTCTGGTTTGGGAGTTTTGTTTATCTCTTGGTATCAAAAATTTGTGTTGGGTCCCTCCCTGGTAGCACAGTGGTAAGAAGCTAAAGCCACTCCAGCGTGAGTTCAATCCCTGCCCCAGAGGTGACCCACATGGAGCAGCAGACCTCTCCTGACCCACCTGTTGCTCCCCTCAACAGTGCACTTCCTCAGTCAACCTCTCCTGCTCCCCACTCTGTCTCTGGTGAATCCTCTCACCAGCCCTGGACCTCTGACCTGTACCCCAGCTCTGTATGCACAAATAAATAAATCTTTTTTAAAAAATTGTGTTGGGCTTTGTCCTTGTCATGAGCTCAGCTTTCCCAGGTCCCAGGTGAGGTGGGCTCTTGAAAACATGGAATCCAGCATCTCCCACCTGGCCATCCCTACCCCTTGGCTAGAAGTGCTGATCCCATTTCTCTTTCTCCAACATGTTACTGTGACTAAATCAGGGTTTTCCAAACCTTTGAAATGCTTGTGTATCTATAGATGCATAATACCGAGCTCCATGTAGCTCTCATCTGCCTCCTCTGTGCTAACACACATACCCATGCCATAGCCCTCGAAGCTGGAGGATTGGCATTTATCCTATATGGTTATCTCGGCTACAGGCTTTATTTGGAACCCCCCAGTATTAAGTCAGATTGTAATTTTTTTCAAGTTGTCTTGAATTTCCACTATTAAGCTGTCTTAATGACAGGCAAGACCTCAAGTGATATTTAACATTTTTGTTGTTGTTGTACTAAATGACCTCTGTTGGTTTTGCTGTGTGATTGTTGGTTGGCCTTCTTATGTGTCTTTTCTCTTTGTACACATCAGCTATTGTTTACTCCCTGTAATCAGTTGGCTTGCCACTGGCCTCTCTTGTCTCCTCCCCTCTCTCCTCCTTCCCAAGGAGAGACTGAGAGCCAGAAAGAACCACAGGCAGCTGTCTCCAACAGCAGATGCGTGGAGGAGCTGAGCCCTCCCCCCCACACTCTTTTTTCTCTCCCCCAGAGGATGTGATGTCACACCAAAGCACATGGACAACACCAAGCAGTGACTGAGTGGTGCATACACTGTCTCCAGTGAAGCAGAGCAGGAGAATAGTTGTACACACTGTCTCCAGTGAAGCTCAGCAGGAGAATAGTTGCATAACGGGAGCCTTCCTAGAAAGATCCGGGCCAGCTCATGGGTCCACAGAGCAGGAGGCTGACAGCCTTCACTGGGCTGAGACGAGGAAGGGGTGCTCCCAGGACTGGCCTCCTTCACTGGCGGCCTTCATCACTTGCCTGCCTTGCATTGCACCTCAACTTCATTCTTCCCTGGAGCAACCATGCTCTCTGTTTCTGTGAACACACAGCCAAACCCCAACTCCCCAGAAAACCCCTCTCAGTTCAAGCATCAAGACCCCGATAGTGTCGCCTGGTCCCCAGCCACAGACTCAAGAGGTGGCGGCAGAGTGCCTCGGAACACTCTTCTGGCCAGGGCAGTGCCTGCCAAAGGGGCAGCTCCCCGCCTCAGACCACAGGTACCAACTGGAGAAAGGGCTGGATGCAGAAGCCCATCCAGGAGACTGTGAGCCCCTCATAGCCCGGAGGGATCAGGGGGCCAGGAGAAGGGCACACTGTAAGAAATGGCTCCTGCTTGTATCAGCTAGCTGTACATGCCCATGTGACGTAAGCAGCTGGGTCATTTTGATCGTGGTGCTACCAATAACCAAAGTGACCCCGAGGCCAGGATCCTTTAGAGATTAGGTGTCTGTTTTCCAGTGACAAGAATCGGTGTGAGTGGAACTAGCTACAAGCAGGATAGAAAGAGACTGAAGAAATGAAAGTATATCCCCAGAAGAGAAGGTTGGGGTAATGCCCCCCCCACACACCCCATTAATGTCATCAGTATCCACTAAGTGGCCAGAATAATCTCTGCTTCATGTCACTGGACCCTGCGCCAACCTCGCATCAGTCCATGCTACACATCACTGCTAGCATGTTCTTCCAAAATATATGACGTCCCCTTAGTGGGCTTCCGCTGCTGTTAGGATGTGCTCACAGCCCTGTGTGGGGAGCCTCTCTGCGTCACCCTCCTGTTAGGCTGCAGGTGTAACCCCTGCTGGCACCGTCCCCCTCTGCCTGGTCAGCTTCTACCCACTTTTCAGACGCCATCTCCTATCTTTCCTCACCATGACACAACTAGTTACCTCGGTCACATGCCCTATGACATGTTCCTGAGAGCCACTAAATAACTCTCATTCCTGACCCTTCTTGTGACTGTGACTTGATATCTGTCTGTGAGTCCCCCACAGACACTGAGGATCATAGGGACAGGGTCTAAGCAGCTTTCCTCACCACGTTGATAACTCCAGGGTTTGGCACTGTCCTGGGCTGTGGTCTGTGCTTAAACCTGTTCTTAAATAAATAACTGTCAGGTAGACTAAATGCCTAGATGTGAAGCCCTGTTCTTTCCCAAACATCAGGAAAACACCCAGTGTGAGGTCTTTGTTCCGGGTGAGGGAGTTCAGGTTTTCTGAAACTCTGCCTTGGGGGTGAATCTCTTTAAACCCATGCACCTCATATTTTAATAATTAAAACCTCTTCTTGCAAGTGTCCCCGTGCGAGCACTGCCATGCGGAGCAGAGCCAGGGTGATGTGCAATAAAGTCTGATGGTTTCCTCATAGTGCCAGGCTGGGCAGGCAGAGCGGGCTGTTATGATGCAGCTAATTAGCGCATGCAGGCTGCTGTAAGTGCGATGCTAATTGCTCAGTGAATGAATTGTAGACTCAGGTAATTACCAAGCCTAATGTGGGTCCCGTCATGTTTGAGTAGATTAATGCAGAGGGGAAGTAGCCCAGCTAGGAGGAGCTGCCTCCTTCCTCGCTGTTGCTTGGGAAACAGCAGTAAGATTTCTTTCTTTTAATATTTTTAAGCGTGGTGTGTGTGTGTGTGTGTGTGTGTATTGTTTTACATCATTGTTCATTTTTGTACGATGTATGCTTTCTCCTCTCAGGCATAGTCTTAGTGAAATTTCTATCACCACTTCACCTGGGCACCATCACCATAGACCCTTGAGCTCCTTCCTGCCCTGTTTTGATCCTTCTGCCTCTCCCCTGCAGAATATCTCTGACTTCTAGTTGCCTGCAAATTGTGTGTTGTTTATTACTACTTTTTTTTTTCTGGAATCCTTATTTGTTTCCCCTATAGTCCTCCTATAAGTGAAGCCATCTGATATTTTTTTTTTTAAGATTTATTTATTTGTGCATACAAACTGGGGTACAGGCCAGAGGCTCAGGGGCGGTGAGAGGCTTCACCAGAGACAGAGTGAGGAACAGAACAGGCAGATCGGCGAAATACACTGCTGAGGGGAGCAGCGGGTGGGTCAGGAGAGGTCTGCCACACCATGTGGTCACCTCCGGGGCAGGTGGGAATCGAACTCATGCAGAAGTGGCTTTAGATTCTCAGTGCTGTGCTTTAACCCGCTGCGCCACCAGGGAGGGCCCCATCTGATATTTTTCTTTTTCCTTTTGGCTTATTTCACTGAGCATAATCCCTTCTAGCTCCACCCATGTTGCTATGAATGGCATGAGTTTATCTTTTTTGATTGCTGAATAGTATTCTATCATGTATATGTACCACATCTTCTTGACCCTGTCTCTATTTTGGGGCATTTTGGTTGTTTCCCTATCTTACCTATTGTAAATAATAGGCAGTTCAATTTTCATCGGGACTGACACTGTCCAGGTATACCCAGACATCTGGGCTCTGCTCAGCTACGAGTCTTAAGGCCTTACACCAAACAGAGCAGGTGCAATCTAAAAGATGCCGACTTCTCTCTCTTGGGCTCTTTCTTTATCTGAAAAGCCACCTTAAAGCTTTCCTTCAGCCAGCCCTGTGATCATTTTCTAAATGAACAGACTTTTAATTCTTTTTTTATAAGATTTATTTATTTATTCATACATACTGAGGTACAAGCCAGAGGTGCAGGGGCAGTGAGAGACTTCACCAAAAACAGAGTGGGGAGCAGAACAGGCAGATCGATGAAGTACACTGCTGAGGGGAGTAGCGGGTGGGTCAGGAGAGGTCTGCTCCGCCATGTGGATCCCCTCAGGGTCTGGGGAATCGAACTCACACTGAAGCGGCTGCAGCCAGCTTGCAGCACTGTGTCCTAACCCATTGTGCCACCAGGGAGGGCCCGGAACAGACCTTTGATTGATTACAAAGGCATGGATTTCTGCACCACAACTGCAATCCAGTACAGCACACACATCTCACCTCTGCCCTCAAGTAACCACAGTATTAATTAACTTTATGGAGAGTGGACTGCTTGGCACTTTTTTATTATAAAATAAGCATTTTATGTGTACCCTGCCACTAACTATCCACCGCTCCCTGTGGCATCTGGGGTAATTCAGTCAATCGATTCAGAGCCGCGATGTGACAGGCATCTGCCTCCACAGCTTATGTCTCTACTGGAGACTGCTTCCTTGACCTGGGAACATCACTTTTTCTAAACCTTGGTTTCCTTAAGAGTGAAGGTTCCTGCACCCACTGTGTGTCCCACCCTGTGCTAAGTCCTTTAGAGGTGAAATTTATTGCCACAATAGGCTGAGAGGGAGGTGAAACGAGTCTCTTTGACCAGCTTGCACAGCTGGTAAATGGTGGTTAGCGCCTGAGTGCCGGGTTGGCAATAACACCTGCTTTCTTTTGCTCACATTCCTCCAGTGAGGCTATGTAGCTCCCATGTAGATGCTGCAGACTACTGGGGTACCTACATCCTAGCTAGAGAAATGCTGCAGAAATCAGCTCCTATTTCTGCCACATCACAGTGAACTCGAGTCACCAGGCAGGCACAGGAGAGGGGCTACCAGTTGATCCCACACCTGCCCAGAGGATGCATTTCTTACATCCAAGTGAAAATACCCACTAAAAATGATCTTCCTGGAAGCTGGGGAACAGCCACCACAGGGAGCACCACTGTATTTTCACAGACACACTCCCTTTTCCCAGAGTCCCACCAAGGAACCCCAGGTGGGTCCCCCTTTGTGTATGTCTCCTGCCAGGGTGTGGCCAAACCCCACAACTGGGAAACACACCCTTCTGCTCACCCCATTTCTCAAGTGAGCTGCTGCCGGTCACCTGCACCCTGGTTAACCCTGGAATACCCACTGTGCATACGCTCTTCCCTGCTGATTCACTCATTGGCATACGAGGAACCCACACTTGGGAGAGAGGAGAGGAAGTCGCTGTGGAGGAAACTGCCCACACCTCCTAACAGCACCAGAAACAGCCGTGGCATCGTCTCGCAGTGAGGGACAAGGTGCCGCCTATGGTCAGTGAAAGTGACTTATTGGCTTTAAACGGGGCAAAGGTTTGAACATGTGCATTGAGGCTAAAAGTGGGGGCACCGTAGGCGTTGTGACCTTAGGTAAGTTGCTTCTTGGAGCCTCAGTTTTCTCACTTGTAAAGTACTCTCTCACTTAGCGTTATGAAAAGTAAATGAAATAATGTATGTTATTACCGGAAGTGGAACAGAGCTGGTAAGTGGTGGTGCCTGGTTTGGGTAGATCAGGCTGAATCAAGACAATTTTGGGTCACCGTACTGCAGAACCCACCCTCTGGCTAGCAAGGGAAACACAACACACAAGACAGAGTCTGAGAAGATATGTAAAGAGCACACCAGCAATAAAGCGGCCTAGGGTTGCATGTCCATTTCCAGTCTGCCTGGGACAGGGCACCGGTTCTCTTACCCTGTGACACTATCACCACCAAATGCATCTCCCTGGCCACTGCCTTCCTGTCTCCTCTTAGTAGAGCAACAAGAGACAGCCAGCTAGAGGTTGCTCATGTCACAGAGGGCACTGCCTGGAACATTCCATAGTCCTCCTCACAGGTAGTAACATTTAGGGGATCTGCAGGTTGTCCCTGCTCATCCCCCTCTCTGGGCCCAGATGCCTTCAGGACCTCACTCTTAGCTCCTTCCACTGCCCCCTCACTCCTTCGGCCTCAGCCCCCCGTTTTTTTCAAAATTGCTGTTCTTTAAAGTGGCCATGTGGGAGCTGGCCTCAGGGACTTTGCACTAGCTACTCTTCTCTCAGTTATGCACATGCCATGCATCCTCACATATCTCACAGGATCGAGTTGGGAGACAGAAACCACACCAGTCATTTAAACAACACTTCAAGGGCCTCCCTGGTGGCACAAGTGAGTGGTTAAGTCTCAGCACTATGAAGCAATCCATAGCCTCTGCAGCATGAGTTCAATCCCCAGGCATATAGCACAGCAGACCTCTCCTGACCCGCCCACTGCTCCCCTCAGCAGTGTATTTCAGTAGATCTGCCTGTTCTGCTCCCCACTCTGTCTCTGGTGAATCCTCTCACACTCCCCACCTCTGGCCTGCACCCCAGTTCTTGTGCACATAAATAAATAAAATAGTTTCTTTTTCTTAAAGATTTTTTTTTTATTTATGATTACAGAGCTGGGGAACAGGCCAGAGGTGCAGGAGCAGTGAGAGGATTCACCAGAGACAGAGTGTGGAGCAGAACAGGCAGATCAATGAAGTACTCTGCTGAGGGGAGCAGCGGGCGGGTCAGGAGAGGTCTGCCTCGCCATGTGGATCTTCTCCGGGGCAGGAGGGGATAGAACTCATGCGGAAGTAGCTTTAGCTCCTTAGTGCTGTGCTTTAACCCATTGCAACACCAGGGAGGGCCCAAAATATGTATGTATGTATGTATCTATCTATCTAGATATATCTGTATCTATATATATTTAAATAACCACTATCTTAATACAAAATTTGTTAAGAAAAGAAAAATATATAAAAGAAACAACGAAAATCAAAATTATTAAGAGGGTTTATAATTGTTAACTATTCAAAGGGCAAAAAAGAGGCTGAACTGTTATGAGGGAAGCAACTGAAGGAAATAACTATTATCTCTAGCACTGAGGAAACAGAGTCACAAAACTCAGAAACTTGGAAGAGGGATCCATCCGAGCAAAACTTAGAGCTCTGAGGAGGAGGTGCAGCCGGATGCCTCTGAGGGCTTCTGTGAAGCTGGTTATGTAAGAGTTGGAAAAACTGCAAACTGATCTGACTACTACAAGGAGGTGCTGCCTCTGCTCGGCTCCAGAAGCATCCTGGGACGATGCTCACAGGCACCGCAGGCAGAGGGGAAGCTCTTGGGTGATGCAAGACACTTGTGTGTGCATGTGTGTTACACTTAACGGACTTGACATTGGTCTCAGAGAACTGAGTGATGATCTGCTCTTAAGCTGTAGAAATTTCCCCAGAATCTGGGTTACTGATAACAAGGCTGCAACTGGAATTGATTCCAATGCAATTAACATTTTGAGTGCAACTGTGTGACCATGCAGAAAGATAATAACCAGTTGTCAAGTAGTAAATGTCTCTGTGATTCTTCGAGTCAACTTGTTTGATTCATCTAATTGATGTAATGTTCCAAGCGGCATCGAAGGGAATCAGAGTGCATTGTTTCTGGCTCTGAGGAGTTGGCTGATCTCAATCAGCATGTTGATATGCTAAGCGCTGAACCCTTTCTAGAAGAGGAAACTTGGTGTAATCAGATAGAACTTGAGCTGGTGTCTAAGATTCTTTCAGATGAGTCTCATGAAAACCCAAAACTTGGTTGGGAGGCAGGAGGTCTGTGTTCCAGACCCAGACCTTACCTTTAAAATGAGCAGTTTGGGGGCCTTTGTTTTGCTCGCCTCTCCAGGATGCCCATGTGCCCAGCACCACCTCAGACACGTGCACTAACAATGACATCAAGAGTGGCATGAGTGCCCCCCCTGGGTGAGTTTGGAGGATACCTGTTGAGTTCTCATGGCTTCTCTCCTTCCTGCCTAGGTACACCGTTCTGCATAGTGGACATCACCAGGAACTCGAGAAACTGCCCATACACAATGACCCAGAATCCCTGGAATCATGCTTCTGATGGAGGACATGGCTCAAGGCGAAGTCATTCATTCCCATTCATGTCTGCATGAGCAGGATCCCCTGGCATCTCCCCTGACCCTCATCATGGCTAGTGAGGAGCCAGGAAGTGGGGCCAAGGCCTGGGCGAAGGTCCGCGGAAGCCATGTTGGGCAGAAGCAAAGGCCGGGGCACAGAGGATGTCAGAGTTGTGCAAGAGCTTCAGGCACTGTCAGATCCAGCCTCCCTCCCACACACCGATGGAGTGGAACCCTCCCTGGTACCCCTGGAAGATGGCCGGTCTCAGCTTACACACCTCTGGGGACAGGTGCTCACTACCTCCTGAAGCAGCTCCTGTTATTACAGGGAAGCTTTCATGCCAAGGAACCTCTTTCCTTCATTGGAACTCAGATCTGCTCCAGCTCCCACCAGCAGCCCGGCTGTTGACCACATTTCTCCTTGAGAGCCCTTACATGTTGGAAGACAGCGGTTTGCCATCACCTACCATTCCCGGAACCGACAACTCCAAGTTCCTAGCATCCTGGCCATCTTCTTCCAGACATGCTTTGGTGGGAGAGAGAACGAGGCTGTTCTAAATCAATGGAATTGGGTTAACACAAATGGGCAGTCTGTCTGGAAGTCAGTGGTTTTGAAGGGAAGCATGAAGATCTTTGGTTTATCACCATGGGCATTTTTCTTCTTTTCTTTGGAAAGAGACTTTCGAAACTGCTGGTCCATGTTAGGGATCCATTCCTAAAAGGCATCTGTGCAAGTGGTCTGAGTACATGTGTGTTTAAAGATGCCACTTTCTCATTGGTACACTGGCTTTGGGATCATTTGAAAAGAAGCTTGATTCACTTTCCTTCCATTGGAAACGACGACACTACAACAGAGTAGTGACTGAGCATCACCTTACAATTCAGATTTTAAGAAGGAAACGGTTTGTTCCTGTGGGACCCCCTTGGGGACTTTTAGGGACCTGTACTGAAGTGGTGTCTGGTCTCAGGCAAAGGCATACCCATGGCCCAACCAGCTTCTTGGGAAACTTCTTGGCTCCCTGCCTGTGAAGCTCCTGGAGTTACCCTTTTTATATATCTTGTATCAGAATCTCATGTCCTCCAAAATCCCCAATGTGATGCTTGTCTTTTAAGGTCAAAGCTGCTGCAAAATTGCTTTATCAGTTGTGCCCCCAGGTTAAGACCCAGTTGCCTTTTTTGGCTGCTGATCAAAAGCCCTGCTGAAAGGATTTATTGCAGGTCCTTATGGCAAAGCCTAGGGGATAGCAATGGAGGTGGGCACAGGGGCGCCTACATAACAGCACTACATGAGGGTACGCCAGAAGTTTCTAACCCTGCCAGTTGTCCTTGCCCTCTGCTTGGTCTGTTGACCTGCTTCACTTCCTCAGAAGCCACAATTGCCTCCTTACCAAGGTTTCATCCTCATCGGCGGCACCCTTCTACTCTCAGCCCCCCAGATGTGACGGGAAGGATGGTCAGCTGGTGAGACCCACTTAGACCAGAGGGATCTGGCTTCTGCTTCTAACATCACCCCAGGGAAACCCCCAGGCAAACCCCATTGGGGGTGGGTCAGCACCCCAATGGGAATCTGCACATTCTGAGTGACTTTTCCCACCTTCATGAAATGTTCAGGAAAAAGGCAGAGATCAGTGAACTGGGAACCCGGAACTCTCAACATGCTGCCTGAATGTGGGCTCTGTCCTCCCGCACAAAGCACGTCTTAGGGATGGACTAATAGTGACCTTAAATCCAGTTCACAGTGAGGATGTCTCTGTCGCATCTCACAGGACAAGATCAGGCAGCTGGTGGACTCTGTTTCACGCCCCCAAAGCCCACAAGATCCTTCACTCCCTGAGGACCTGCACATATAATCCAGTAGGACTTCTTCCCTGTGAAATGCTGCTCTTCCCAGGAACTTAACACATATATCTGCTTCTACAAATATTTCTTCTCAGCTGCAGGTCTTCCACACTGAATGACAGCAGGGATTCAGGAGGGACCCACAACAGAGGCGAGAAAATGAGATCTCGCCCGACTGCATGCACACATCTGTCTCGCTGCCTGGCCATGCCTCGTGCCCAGCCATGACTGGTGTCTGGAAGTCACAGGCACCCTGGGGCAGGGAAGGACAGTGATGGTGGGAACCGGAGCCTGTGATATTGTCAAGATGTCCTCTGCAGAGATGGGCACAGAAGCAGACTTTGCTGTCTCTTTGGACCAGCGTTGGGGGTGAGGTGGTGATGCACTAAACACCCCTAGTGGCATCTCTTAGCACAGGACCAGGCTTGTCTATGTGGCCAGCCGCTAGCCTGCCATTGCTGACGTCAGGCATCTGGGAATCCAGGGATGACCACAGGTGGACGGCAGATTCAGGCAGAAGAGACTTGACACTCACCCAAGGAAGGAGGAGGCCTGCATCTCGTCTTCTTGGAGGGCCTCCCCTCCTGCAGGTTGAAGAAGAGAAACTCCACATTTGGGGGGCACCTGCCTCCAGCCATACCCTGCAGACCAGCCTTGGCAGTCACAGGGAGCATCGTGGCTATAGCCGGCTAGCCCCACATCTGGGTAAACGCGACTCATCTCTGCTCTTCTCACCTCAGCTCTCCAGCCTCCAGGAGTCCAGGCAGAAGCCCTGAAACCTGGTCTGGCTCATGATCAGAGGCTAGATGGCAAAAGAAATAACAAAGACCTTCAACTTTTCAACTGACCTTTGTGTCTGTGGGAAAATCCGCCCTTTCCGGGACTTCACCTTTTTGCCTCACCAGTGTTTTCCAATTCATGTTAACACACGCTGTCCTCCAGCAAATGCTGTTCCGCTGGGGAGCAGGGGTGGGAATGTGGGTGGAGGAGGCCGGGCTGCAGCGGCCAGGGGAGGGGTTATAACTAAATCACCTTTAATACCATCTTCAATTAAGAACAGAGTCCTGTCTTCTTGGTGCCGGGCTGTCTACCCATTTCTCTTCTTTGGCGTCGTATTGCTCTTTGGTGAAAAATCAGTGTTTCTTTTCTGTTTTCCTTCATTACTCTGCTTTGTTCTGGTCAAAGGCCTTTCTGTGATAGCTGGTGTAGGGGGAAGAAAAGACTAAAGCATTTACCCCTCCTAGCTATAATTTGCGATCTCTTTCTACAACCTAGAAAAGTCAGCCTGAATGTTTGGTTTGAATTAAATCAGAGATGGACCTGACGGCCTGAGTTTAGGATACGGTATAACTTGAGGCCTGGCCAGCACTTGCCTGTCTTGTCTCAAACCGAGTGGAGATGATTTCTGAGCTGGTGGGATTGTGTTGAGCTCCAACAAGGGTCATCCAAGGGCTGCCATTAGGATTTGGACTAAATATGTGTCCTGCCTGTACTGTTAGTGACGGAGTATTTTATCTAAGTCAGTTAGAGATTTCACTTCTGTGAATTGATCTTAGAAAGAGACATTAGATCACTACTCAAAAATAGGAAATCAGTATCATTTACCATAAATAGAAAGCAACCACAGAGATAAACACATGAAAACAAAATGGTTATTGTGTTCTAAGTGGAAGCCAAGGCTCAGAGCTTGCCCAGGGCTTCCATGATTAAAAGGAGGGGAGGGGCATGAGATGGGAAGCCTCCTGCCTCTGCTGAGGAAGGGTTGCGTAAGAATTTACCAGCGAGCAACTCCCAAACTTTATCACTAAAATAATAGTGTATCTATAATAAGAGCTCTGACGAGCTCCTTTCTGCTAGGACTGTGGCATGTACTTTCAAGGGCATCACCCTCAATCTTCTTAAAATTCTTAAAAGGCAGGTACTGAAGTGACCCTGTTTTCCAGCTGGTCAACAGAGGCCCCGGTCACCAGCGTGGCAGGTTGAACATCCCCGTCAGAGGGTGTGCAGCTGCTTCTGGAGGGTGCAATCACTCTCCTGCTTGATGCGCGGGGCACTGTGCCACAAGCCTGAGGTGTCCCCTGCCTTGTTAGTGCCATGCATTTCCCCTGGGCAGCAGGCCAGGCCCAGAGGGGAGCCGTAGGATGTTCTGGGTTCTGATCCAGTCTGCAGTGCTGATCCACTCTCTCCATTGTTCTCTAACTCTCCCCTTAAATCGAGCCTCAATTCCTGTCTTAAATGAAGATGGGGGACCTTCCTGGTGGTGCAAGGGGTTAAATAAAGCCCAGCACTATGAAGTTATCCACAGCTACTGCAGCATGAATTCTGTTCCCTGCCAGGGAGCTGACCCACGTGGTGTGACAGACCTCTTCTGACCTGCCCAGTGATCCCCTCAGCAGTGTATTTCAGTAGATCTGCCTGTTGTGCATCCCTCTCTGTCTCTGGTGAATCGCCTCAAACCCTGCACCTCTAGCTTGTATCCCAATACTGTATGTATAAATAAATAAATCTTAAAAGAAAAAAAAGAAATGAAGGTGAGAAAATAGGGTGATGGTTGGTTGTCTGGAAAAGCCCTTCCACACTTTTCTGCTGCTCTTTCCAGTCTTCAGCAGCCTGGAGGGACTGAGGAACCAGCCTCAGGCATTGGGGATCAGCGTTGAACCAACAAGCTATCTATTGAAGGGCGAAGAGCGCCCCTGCTGGAGGGCAGCGTCACTACCCCGAGTTTGTTAGGGAAACACTCCTGTGCGTGGCCCCACCAGAAATGACACGTTCTTTGTACTTTTCAACGTCTGAGTCTTCACGGCAGCTCGCGGGGAAGGGTTCCTGACTTCATTTTACAAAAAAGGAAACAGACTTTGTTGGGGACGGTGATGATGCCAGACAGGTCACAGCCCCAAACACGCCAGGCCCCTTCATCCTAACAAAGTGCTTTCTTCCTCCTTCTCTTAAGGTCTGTTTGGCTTCTAAATGTACAAATTATTTATTTCTAAACTGTAAGTTTTGTGTTTTACAAGTACTTCTTTTGCCATCCATTCCCACTGTAAAAGGTAATAATGTTCGTACAGAAACTACCCCTGAACTCCAGCTCAGTCCCACTCTCCCAAGAAGTGATTGTTCCCCTCACCTGGATAATATAATTCAAGAGCGCATTCTGTGTGTTTACAAATGTATAAATGTAAATATGAAAACATGCTTTGTTCTTATATATAAATATGGTCGTTATATAAAATAATCTGTAATGTCTTTTTTAACGATATCCCTCAGGCACATGTAATTCTCTCTAGACTGTGTGTGTT